GGGGAGGGGCGGGGAGGGGCGGGGAGATGTGGGGCGCCAGCAGCAGCAAACGGGCGGAGATGCGCGCACAAGCAGCAGCAACGCGCACAGTCCAGCAGCAGCAGCAGCAGCAGCAGCAGCAGCAGCAGCAGCAGCAGCACCAGGACGAGCACCAGCAGCGGCAGCAACACCAGCACAACTACCAGCACCAGCAACAGCAGCACCACCAGCAACAGCAGCAGCAGCAGCAGCAGCAGCAGCAGCAGCAGCAGCAGCAGCAGCAGCAGCAGCAGACCGTTTTGCCTGCTCCATTGTGCCCCACAATGACAGTGAGGGGAGTCCCGAAGGAAATCGTCTCGAGAGATTCCGGCCCGAAGCTGCGCACCCCCTGAATGCCCAGACGCTGTATCGTTGTCATTGCTGCTGCTGCTGCTGCTGCTGCTGCTGCTGCTGCTGCTGCTGCTGTTCCTAGTCCTGCTGCTGTTGCTGCTGCTGCTGGCTCTGCTGCTGCGGCGGATGTGGTCAGCAGTCGTGCTGCTTCTGCGGCTTCTGCTCTTCTTGCTGCTGCTGTTGCCGTCAATAGGGATGGCGATGCTGCTGCTGCTGCCGCTGCTGCTGCAGCCGCTGCTGCTGCAGCCGCTGCTGCTGCAGCCGCTGCTGCTGCAGCCGCTGCTGCTGCTGCTAGTGGAGGTGGTGGCGCTGCTTTTCAGCTGCTTGGAGAGATGGCGATGTTGCTGCTGCTGCTGTGTCTGCTGCCACCGTTGCAGCTAGTATTAGGAGTGCTGCTGCTGCTGCTGCTGCTGCTGCTGCGTCAGCTGCTGCAGTTGCTGCTTCTGCCGCTGTTGCTCGTGCTGCTCGCGTGGAGAGGGCAGGCGTTCTTGAGGCAGCAGCAGCAGCCGCTGCTGCTGCTGCTGCTCCCTGCTGCTGCTGCTGCTGCTGCTACGGGAGCAGCAGCAGCCGCCGCCGCCGCGTCGCGAGTTCAGCCGCGGTGTCTGTACACCGCAGCGGCGCGCGCGGGCGCTCCGAGCGGCGGAAAGCTGCGGAGAAAAAGCTGAAGAAAGCAATTAAAGAACAAAAGAAGAAAAGAAAAGCATTTTGGAGTTAATTTGCATTATTTGCATTTAATTTCCTCCAAAATAACTCCACTTCTCACCTGCTGCTCCGAGAGCTGCCGCCCGCCCAACCACCAGCAAACCACCCCAGCCCCGAGGGCCACTGCGGCCTGGCGGATTCTCTGGAAAATAAAAGGAATTCAAATCTTTAAATCTTTTTATTTATTTACTTTTTATTTATTTATTCATTTTTATTTTATTTCAAATTTAAAACAAAAAAGAATCTTCTGCGGCCCGGGGGCCCCGCTGGGGCCCCACGGCGGGAGCTGCAGCAGAACCGCAAGCTGTACAGACTGCTGCAGCAGACCGTTTTCTCTTCTTCCAATTTTTATTTTTATTTTTATTTTTATTTTTATTTTTATTTTTATTTTATTTCTTTCCTTTTATTCTCTCCGGACTTTTCTTCTTCGCGCTGCAGACGCAGCAGACAGGGGGCCTCCAGCGCCCAATCGAGACAGCTAGCTGCAGCTAGCTGCACATGGGCTGCAGCTAGCTGCAGCTAGCTGCAGCTAGCTACAGCTAGCTACACCTCGGCTAAGGCTGTTCTAAGCTACAGCTAGCTACAGCTAGCCACAGCTGGCCATGGCTAGCTACATCTAGGCACAGCTAGCTACAGCTAGCTACAGCTGGCTACAGCTAGCTACAGCTAGCTACAGCTAGCTACAGCTAGCTACAGCTGGCTACAGCTAGCCACAGCTAGCTACAGTTGGCTACAGCTAGCTACAGCTAGCTACAGCTAGCTACAGCTAGCTACAGCTAGCTACAGCTAGCTACAGCTAGCTACAGGTTACGGTGCATTTCTGCTGCTGCTTGGAGGCCTCTTGCTGCTTTGAACTGCAGCTCAGAAGAAAACCTTTCAGTTCTCAACTTAAATTCAAAAAAAGAAAAAAAGAAAAAGAAAAAAAGAAAAAGAAAAGAAAAAAGATTTTAATTTCCTCAGCGCAGCAGGTTGCTGCATGCGCATGCAGCTCCTGCCTAAAGTGCCACTCCCTCCACAAGCCTCACTCTCCGCCGCCGCTGCTGCTGCCGCTGCTGCTGCTGCTGCTGCTGCTGCTGCTGCTGCTGCTGCTGCTGCTGCTGAGCGCTGCAGCGGGAACGTGGGCGATTGCTGCGAAGAGCTGCTGCTGGTAGCTGCGGACTTGAGGCCCTTTTTTGGCGTTTTTGCTGCTTTGAATTATTTTTTGAATTTCCAACTTTGGAATTTCCCGCAAACAAACTGCGCACTCTTTCCGGCACTCCCGCCGCTGCGCTATCTCCGCCAAACTGCAAAAAAAAATTTAATTTAAATTCAAATATAAATTTAAATTTAAATTCAAATTTAAATTTAAAATTAAATTCAAATTTAAAATTAAATTCGCATTTATATTCATATTTATAATTGTATTTGGAGTTATATTTATGTTTTTATTTGCAAACTCTTTCCGGCACTCTCGCCGCTGTGCTATTTCCGCCAAACTGCAGCAATTTAAATTCAAATTTAAATTTAAATTTAAATTTAAATATAAATTTAAATTTAAATTTACATTCTAATTTATATTTAAATTCTAATTTATATTTATATTCTAATTTATATTTAAATTCTAATTTATTTTATATTTGCATTTATTCAATTTCAATTTCGAATTTCAATTTATTTAAATTCCAGATTCCAGTTCAAATTCAAATTTTAATTTAAATCTCAAATTTAAATTTAAATTTGAATTTAGACTTATTCAAGTTTCAAATTCAAATTCAAATTCAAATTCATTTTCGAATTTTAATTTAAATATATTTAAATTCCAAATTCAAATTCAAATTCAAATTCAAATTCAGATTTAAATTTAAATTCAAATTTGATTTGCAATTTAATTGCTAATACACAGTCAATTTCTAATTGGAGTTTAAATTCAAATTCAAGTTCAAATGTAATTAAAATTTCAAATTTAAATTCAATTTAAATTCAGATTCAGATTCAAATTCAAATTCAAATTTAAACCTCAATTCTAAATTTAAATTCATTTAAATTCCAAAATCAAATTCAATTTCAATTTCAAACTTCAATTTCGATTTCATTTTAAATTTGAAGTTATTTAAATTTCAAATTCAAATTAGAATTCCCATTCACATTTAAATCCATGTTCATTTTTGAATTGAAATTAAAATTATAATTAAAATTAAAATTCAATTTAAAATTAAAATTAAAATTAAAATTCGAAAAGTTCAATTCCAAATTCAAATTCAGTTTTAGTTTGAATTTCAAATTCAACTTCTAATTCAATCTCAATTTCAAATTCAATTTCGAATTAAAATTAAAATTAAAATCAAAATTAAAATTAAAATTAAAATTAAAATTCATTTTCAATTTCAATGTTTAATTCAATTTCAACTTCAAATCCAAATTCAAATTTCAATTTGATTCCAAATCGAAATCAAAACTAAAACTAAAGTTCAATTCCACATTCAAATTCAAATTTAATTTCAAATTTCAAATTTAATTCCAAATTAAAATTAAAATTAAAATTAAAATTAAAATTCAATCTTTAATTAAAATTAAAATTAAAGTTCAGTTCCAAATTAAAGTCAAAATTAAAATTAAAATTAAAATTAAAATTAAACTTCAGATTTAAATTAAACTTCCAATTCAAACTCATATTCAGTTCAAATTCAAATTCAAATTCAGATTCAAATTCAATTTCAATTTCAAATTCACATTTAAATTTAAATTTAAATTCAAATTCAAATTCAAATTTAAATTTGATTTAAATTTAATTTAATTTAAATTGAATTTAAATTTAATTTCAAATTTAAATTTAATTTAAATTTAATTTAAATTTAAAAATGAATTCATTTTAAAAGTTCCTCTCCTTCTTTCGGAAAGCTTTGGAGCTCACCAGTGCAAGTGGAATTCGTGATCTGAAAAAAACAAAAATAAATAAACAAACAATAAATAAACAAATAAATAATAAACAAATAAATAAACAAATAAATAAACAAATAAATAAATAAACAAATATATAAACAAATAAATAAACAAATAAATAAATAAACAAATATATAAACAAACAAACAAACAATAAATAAATAAATAAATGAATAAATAAATAAATAAATAAATAAATAAATAAATAAATAAATAAATAAATAAATAATAAATAATTAATTAATTAAAATTAATTTATTTTGCCTCACTGCATGCAAGTCGAAAGAGCAGCGGCTTCGCGAGGTGCATCGAGTCGGACTTGGGAAAGAGACACTGAAGTGGAAAGAAGAAATAAATTCAATTTTCAAATTAAAACAATTTATTTATTTATTTATTTATTTATTTATTTATTTATTTATTTATTTATTTATTTATTCCTCACAATATTGCAGCAATCTCCGTCGCTTTCCCCCGCTGCTGCTGCTGCTGCTGCTGCTGCTGCTGCTGCTGCTGCTGCTGCTGCTGCTGCTGCTGCGGGTTTGTGGGGCGCTGCGCCGGGCGCTGCTGCAGCTGCGCGTACACCTGAACTGCAGCACGGCGGCCGCAGCGCAGCTTTCCAGCCTTGTGCGAATTGCTGCAGCTGAATAATTGGAGTTCCGAATTCTCCTGCTGCAGGCTGCTGCGGCTCTGCTGCTGCTGCTGCTGCTGCTGCTGCTGTTGCTGCTGCTGCTGCTGGCCCCGGCGTCGCCTCCAGCTCCCGCACTGAGCGGTGCTGCGTCAGCCGCTGCCGCTTCAGCGCCAGCCAGCAGCACGGCGGCGGCGTCTGTGCTGCGCTGCTGCTGCTGCTGCTGCTGCTGCTGCAGCAGCAAAGGGAAGGAGTTGGAAGCAAAACTGTGGAGTGCAGCATTCAAGAGAAACTCACTGAAGAACTGCGGGAGAAACCCGAAGGGCAGGAGAAGCCCTTCGTTGGTTTTGCGGCGGCTCAGGCTCTGCTGCTGCTGCTGCTGCTGCTGCTGCTGCTGCTGCTGCTCCTGCTGCTGCTGCTTCTGCTGCTGGAGTTCCATTTCGGAGTTTTTGAAAGGCAAAAGGATTAAATGCAGCAGCAACTCGCCTTTTTCCGTTTTGCTTCTGTCTTTACTCAATTCAACTTCTCCGGCCTCTTTTGCAAGTTCCTGTTTGCCCCAGAGAGACTTGGAAAGAGAAGCAGCAGAGGGCTGCGGCGCAGCCTTTGCATTGCTGCTGCTGCTGCTGCTGCTGCTGCTGCTGCTGCTGCTGCTGCTGTCCTCTGCTGCTGCGCTGCATGCTTTGCTGCTGATGGCCCTCAGTGCTGCCAAATAGGCATTTCGAGTTTGGGCTGAATTCGCAGAGTCGCGGCCGGGGCGGCCCGCGGCTGGATCGGCGCTGGGTGGCAGCCGATTCAGAATTTGCTGCAGCAGTTTCGTCTGCGAAAGCACCACCTGCAGCTCGTTTTGGAGCGGAAAGTGAGAAAAAAACACTTTAAATGCTTTTTAAATCAATTATACCTTCTCCAAAGTGGATATCTTGGCCAGAACGCGGGCCAGAGGGTCTTCCAGCTGCTGATCTGCGTGGACATTCAGCTTTCCGTGAGGGGCCGCGGCCGCAAACGACATCAGAGTTTCCGGCATTTCGGGGAATCGCGCACGCAAATGGAAATAATGAGACAACGCATGCAATTAAATTGCATAACTTCGAATATTTGCCGGAAAAAAAGCGCAAAAGTCCGCTAATGTCCCTCTGGCGGCTCTCGATGAGATCACGCGGGCGACAGAATCCGCAGCGAGCTGCTGAGCTGTCCGTACACCCCAGCTCCAAAAGCCCCGTCTGCCCCTCCGCAAAAAAATTCAAAAGTTTCACTTTTATTTCTTTTAGCATTTATTGCCGCAGCATTGTTTTGTCTTGGGCTGCTGAGGCGCCTCTTGTGGGGCTTGGCGGCGGCGGGAGCGACTGCAGCAGCCTCGGGCGACTTCGGCAAAAATAGAAAAAGTCAGTTTTATTTTTTCCCTTTTTCTCGCTTTTAATGACTCCTAATTTCATATTTTACGAATTTTCAGGTTTGCGCTGCGCCGCAGTCGCCAGATCGCTCGCCTTGGGCCAGTTCAAGTTGCAGCTTTCTTGAAATCGAAAGCTGAACTGCGGCCACTTTCGGTGCGATCTTGCGTTCATTCGTTTTAATTGTCATTTATTTTTGATTTTTAATTTAATTTCATTTCTTATTTTCCAATTTAATCCGAAATTAATCAAATTTCCCGCAGATTTCCCTCCCGCCATGCAAGTTCAAGTTTGAACTGCAGGGCCTTTCTGCTGACGGCTGCGGGTTGCTGCTTCCTTTGCTGCTGCTGCTGCTGCTGCAGCAGCGAGAGCTACGGACGGATCCCTTTTTTCGCCTTCTGCTTCACTGCAGCATCCAGGGTTTAGGGTTTAGGGTTTAGGGTTTAGGGTTTAGGGTTTAGGGTTTAGGGTTTAGGGTTTAGGGTTGGGGGTTTAGGGTTTAGGGTTTAGGGTTTAGGGTTTAGGGTTTAGGGTTTAGGGTTTAGGGTTTAGGGTTTATGCAGGGCGCGGGAAACACCCCCGCGTTGGTGAACAGTTTGTTGACTTCGCTGTGCAACATTTCGCCCTTCAGGGTTAGGGTTTAGGGTTTAGGGTTTAGGGTTTAGGGTTTAGGGTTTAGGGTTTAGGGTTTAGGGTTTAGGGGGTTTAGGGTTTAGGGTTTGGGGTTAGGTTTGGGGTTTAGGGTTTAGGGTTTAGGGTTTAGGGTTTAGGGTTTAGGGTTTAGGGTTTAGGGTTTAGACCACTGCGAGAATAGTGACTGCGAAGGCCTCCAGGTGGCGCTTCACGAGGGGCAGTTTGGAAGACAGCGCAGCCAAACGTGGCGCGGTACTACGCGGACGCGAACGTAAACCGCCCGAGGCAGTATTGGGATTACGATGTCGGACTTCGCGCGTCGAAAGGAGCGCATCCTCCGGGGCCTGTTCCCCGGCCTCACCCTCAGCAGCAGCAGCAGCAGCAGCAGCAGCAGCAGCAGCAGCAGCAGCAGCAGCAGCAGCAGCAGCAGCAGCAGAGCAGCAGCAGCAGCAGCAGCAGCAGCAGCAGCAGCAGCAGCAGCAGCAGCAGCAGCAGCAGCAGCAGCATGAAGGAGGACCGGTCGTTCAAAGGGTCCGTGGACAGTTTGCTGCTGCCGCTGTGTCTGCTGCTGAACTCCCACCCCGACTTCGTCACCACCAGCTGCTGCAGCGGCCGCATAACGGCCTACATGCATGCATACACTGCAGCAGGCCGGCGGGAGAAGAGCAGCAGCAGACTCGTCTCCGTGCAGCACGAGCCCCTCCCCTTTGCTGCTGCTGCTGCTGCTGCTGCTGCTGCTGCTGCTGACGCAGACGCCCTCCTCCGCCGCATCCTCAGCGGCGCGCAGCACTATCCCGCCAAGGCCTGCAGCAGCAGCAGCAGCAGCAGCAGCAGCAGCAACGGCAGCAGCAGCAACAGCAGCAGCAG